TAAAGTGGAGTCAAACTGTATTAATTTTACAGTGCAGAGGCACCCATAGTAACATCTGTAGGATTCTCCTGGAAAACAATTTTACTCAAAATGGTGGTCCCTGGACGCAGAGCTTCTTAAATTTTTCCACTTGGGACCCTTTTTGGCCTCATATTTTTTTTTACGAGATCGCAGGTAAAATAGGTATAAAAACCAAACATTTACTAATTTGCAGGGCTTGCTAAACAGACTGATTTTCCTTTTTATGAAGTATAGCTGAAGCATCTTCTGCACAGTCCACTGTAGACTTTGCACAACAGATTTGTATAACTGTCTAAAACAGCGACTACTGTTGTCAAATTTTTCAGGACCCCAACGCTAAACTAAGGCTGGATCTACACTGCATGTAGCCGGAGGGGGTGGGCTTGAGGGACTTCACCCCTCCCCCAAATTTCTAGGGTGGTTCACGAGAAGGCCTTACTGGTACATTATTTAAACTGTTATGTTTATTCATATCATGATCTGATCACCATACTCAATATATCCCATATGCATGGGGGTATTGGGATAACGATACAAAAGGTTTGCTAGGGTAGATCCTCACCCCCCCCCCCCAATCAAACTCAGCCCCCTCTCCCCTAATCAAAATCCTGGCTACGGGTTTGCACTGCACTATATCCCAGGATATGATCCAAGATTACAATCTCAGTGTCGACTCATATAATCCAGTTCAAAGCAGATAATCTGGGATCCGATCCTTGGACATAGGGCAGAGTAGATCCAGCCTAAGAGAGCTCAAATTTGGGTCGGGACCCACAGTTTAAGAAGCAGTGCTTAGACCGATGTGAGTCTGTGAGCTACCAGCCACAGAGTACTTTCAAGAAAGAAAGGCAAAGACATATTTTTGCCCATGACACATTAGAAAGAAATCGCCAGTCCCACACATCAGAAACTCTAAGAAGTGCTGGCATGAAAGATAAAATTCTGGTACCTCTTTTAGGGAAGGGTAAAGCCTGCCAATAAAGAAGACCAAGTGCACAGGAATTTTTAATGTAAACCATTCCATCTCCTTACAAGTGCCTGCTGCTAGCGACAGATAGACTTATAGACAGATAGCTGTTAACTGGAACATAATTCAGGCTCCAACTGTGTCATAATCATAAACCAAAAATCAGAAATGCATATCAAAAAGGTACTTAGACGCAGACAATACTGTTAAATTAGTCTGTATTTGGCTCTCACAGAAAAAAAATGCAAAACTTAATATCAATGAATTAATTTCATGCCAGCATAAACCAATTTATGAGCTTGGATTCAGCGAGTTGGGAGAAGGGTAAGTCATTTTAAAACTGCAGTCAAACTAATTAAATGTTGTTCAAGTTCCTGAAAGATTTTAAATGTATTTTTATAGGTCTTAGACGTTTCTTAATCATTTTGGCACCTGATAAGAAAAAAAATCAAAATGACATCTCCCTCTCTGCACACCTTTCAGCCATTTTCAAATAAAATAAGATCAGGCCTTTGGAAGAGAGACAATAGAGTAGTGGCATTATGTCTAGGAAATTCGTGGCTTCAAATCATAGATGGAGTCATGTATAATTGTTCAAACTTTAATCAAAACTTTAATTCAAAATAATTAAATGTTGTTCAAGTTCCTTTACAAATTAAGATACCAATAGAGCCAGAGCATTTCTGTTGGGATTTATAAAAGCAGTATTGCCAAAAAAAAAAATAATTCTACACTTTTTAAATATATGGTGACTGCAGCAAGGATTGTATATGCTTATTATTGGAAACAAGAAGAAATTCCCACTCAAGATTTATGGATTACAAAAATGATGGATCTGACGGAGATGGACAAATTAACTATGTTTATACAATTGCCAGATCGCAAGCCAGAAGATTGCAAGTCTTTTTTTAAATTCTTTAAAGAAGAAAGTAAAATAAAAACATTGGGTTTTTTGTATTAGTAAGAGTAAGTCAACCTAGCAGTTCGAAAACATGCAAATGTGTGTAGATCAATAGGTACCGCTTTGGCGGGAAGGTAACAGTGCTCCATGTAGTCATGCTGGCCACATGACCTTGGAGATGTCTACGTACAACGCCGGCTCTTTGGCTTAGAAATGGAGACGAGCATCACCCCCCACCCCGGAGTTGAATGTGACTAGACTTAATATCAGGGGAAACCTTTACCTTTACTACAAGTAAGTCAGCACTACTAAGATGTAGGGGGGGAAAGGAAAAGGGACAAGAATAGCAGGATCTCCAATTATATTCAAGAGATCCTGAAAATTTAATATATGGTTGCAGTGAGTTTTCTGTGCTGTATGGCCATGTTACAGAAGCATTCTTTTCTGACGTTTTGCCCACATCTATAGCAGACATTCTCAGAGGCTGTGAGGTTTGTTGGAAACTAGGCAAGTGATATCGAGCCAGGAGAGAGGAGCCCTCAGACCCACCAAAGAGAGTCCGGTACCTTGGCAAGCGAAAAGAGCCCAGAATTTTCCGTAAATTTTCCAAATAAATCTCAACAAGGTTGAAGAAAAGCCGAGTTGTATTTATTTTGCTCAGCTGGAACAGATGTCAAACCGTGATAGTTCATCAGGAGAGACATGCAAGCAGTACATTTTGGTACATTTTTTAAAATAGAAAAACAGTTTTCCAAAGTTGTAAAATCTAGAAAAGACAAGCGGGGAAAGATGCCCCAGTGTCCATGGAGTCTTTATAATTGCCCACCAATGCTGAAGATCAAAATCTGGGGGAGAACTACAGATCCCTTCACACCAAGGACCAAGGTGGCCCACCAACATCTTAGGGGTTCCATGGGTTGACCATGACAGTTCCCTGAGATCAGCAGGCTCCTTGGATATCCACAAAATGGTGGCAGCGAGGCAGCGCCTGCAGAAAAACAGCTGGACTCCAGGATATGGTTTTGGGGGCAAAAAGGGTTATTCCCGGGGCAGAAAGGACAGCGATGTGAAACCGAGATAGCCATTCTTAGAATTCTCCCAGGAGAAGATTGGCACCATTTTTGAAGCGATCCATTAATTAGCGGATACGGGGGCCCGAGGGGTTTCCGTATCCATGGTTTAAGGGAACACAGCTTCGGCCTCCCCAGGATGCAAGAATTGCATCCCAGGAGGGCTGGCAGCCGTCTGCCACCCGGGAGAGGAAAGATTTATTGAAAGGAAAGTTTGAGGCAGTAAAAGGACACAAAGTAACACTATGGAGAGGAAAAAGTTACAATTAATTGATACATTTTATTGGGAGGATTAGTTACAGTGTTAGGAAGGGGGAAAGCAAAGAAATGAGAAGGCTTCTGAGTTGCAGCTGCTGCTGTGGCCACGTTCATGCAGTTGGCCCAAGCGGGGCGTTGTAGAACTGTGGAACTCCCTGCTGCAGGTCAGATCAGCTTGAAGGCAGGGAGCTCCGCGTTTGGTCTCACAAGTGGGGTTTATATGTCTGTGGAATGTCCAGGGTGGGAGAAAGAAGTCTTGTCTCTTTGAGGCAAGAGTGAATGTTGCAATTGGCCAGCTTGATTAGCATCAAATAGACTTGCAGCTTCAAAGCCTGGCTACTTCCTGCCCAGGGGAATCCTTTGTTGGAAGGACTGGCTGACCCTGATTGTTTCCCAAGCAGGAAGCTACCAAGCCTTGAAACTCCAAGGCTATTAAATGCTAATCAAGGTGATCAATTGCAGCATTCACACTGACCTCAAACAGACAAGAGTTCTTTTCCCACTCTGGACATTTGCACGATTTCCCAGAGGCAGCGCTGATGGAATCGTTCTAGGTGTTGCATGTGTTGACAGAATTCAACAGCGAGAGTACGCTCGCATCGCTGGCCTAGCAAGGGAAAACAGGCACGCTAGCAAGAGAGAGAGCAGCCTTGGGGGGGGGGGAGGCGGGGCTTTGGAGCGAGCGCAAGCGCAAGCACGCTCCCGCTTTCCTGTAGTTTGCGGCGGCTTTTAAGCTGTATTTCTAGCATTGGAGAGGGATTGGCTGTTGACTGCTGGAAGAGCACTTTGGTTTTTTCAGTGTTTAATGACAGGTTGAGCTTCTTGTATGCTTCTGAGAAGATGTTTAGAGTGGCTTGTAGGTCTTCCTCTTAATGTGCACAGACGACATTGTCATTAGCATATCGGAGTTCTATAACAGATGTTGTTGTAACCTTGGCTTTGGCTTTCAGTCTGCTGAGGTTAAACGGCTTGCCATCTGTCCAATAGATGATTTCCACTCCGGTGGGAAGCTTCTCATTAAGAAGACGAAGTCATCACTATGATACTTCATTTTTAATACCTCTATCTATGTGTGTGTGTGTGTATAGATAGATGGTTTTATCTTGGAGATGGGACCTATGTCTAAACACAAAATGCATTTATGGGCCTTTCCACACAGCTATATAACTCAGCTCAAGGCAGATAATCCAAAGTATCTGCTTTGAACGGGGTTATCTGAGTCCACACTGCCATATAACCCAGTTCAATGCAGATTTTATAAAGGTGTGTGGAAGGGGTCCCAGAAGATCAAGGCAGATAACCCAAATTGCCTGCTTTGAACTGGGTTATCTGAGTCCACACTGCCATATAACCCAGTTCAATGTGGATTTTATACAGCTGTGTGGAAGGGGCCCCAGAAGATCAAGGCAGATAACCCACATTGTCTGCTTTGAACTGGGTTATCTGAGTCCACACTACCATATAACCCAGTTCAATGTGGTTTTCATATAGCTGCCTGGAAGGGGCCTCAGTTTTATATACACTTTATCCCACATGGCCTGAAGGTCACTTTATATAATATTTTTGATAATTTTGTGCATAAAAGTGCCAATTTGGGAAGGCAGGTGAAGTGGCATAACACTTTCTCAGTGTGTGAAGACACGGGCTTCAATGCAATTCCCCTCAGCGATTGCGAACCCCAACTCCCAGCATGCCTCGCTGTAAAACCTTTGCAGTGTCTATAGGGCCTCGGCGCAATGCATCCTGGGGGGTGTAGTTCAAAGAGCGGGGAAAAAGTTTGGCGGTGTTCTAACCGCGCTGGAGTGGCTCGCGAGGGAAGGCGGAAAGGATGCTTGAGGGTTTTCCCGCTGGTTGAAGGCCAGCCCCGCCTCCATTTCCTCCTCTTCTTCTTGGAGTTCCGGCAATTTTGGCGCCAAATTGCAAACCCTCGCCTCAGACTGCAAGGAAATGAATGGCGGTGGCGCCTCAGAGGACAGCAATCCCAATGGGTAAGGGGCATTATGGGGTCCCACCTAAACAGAGCTACTTCGGCCCTCCAGGTGTTTTGGACTTCAACTCCCACCATTCCTAACAGCCTCAGGCCCCTTCCTTTCCCCCCTCAGCCGCTTAGCGGCTGAGGGGGGAAAGGAAGGGGCCTGAGGCTGTTAGGAATGGTGGGAGTTGAAGTCCAAAACACCTGGAGGGCCCAAGTTTGCCCAGCCCAGGCCTGGTGTAGATTCACCCATTCACCTTAGACATCTTGTCTGTCCAAGTTCACAGACGAACAAAAGAAGAAAACCAGACCATGCGATCAGAAAAAGAGGTATGTCCCTGGGAAATATCCTTCTTACAAGAAAGATGATAGGAGGAGAGAATAGAGTGACAGGCAAACTAAGAGGCCAATGTGGGAAGGACGTTTCCCTGCCAACAAACCCATCTGCCTATCTAAGTCCTTGATGAGGACTACAAACTTGTGACGACATGTGGTTGAGTTTTACCATTTTCTAGGTCCTCCCTCATGACTGTGTTCCTGGGCCAGAATTCCTTCATTTATATAAAAAGGTAAAGGTAGCCCTCTGACATTAAGTCCAGTCATGTCTGACTCTGGGGTGTGGTGCTCATCTCCATTTCTAAGCCAAAGAGCCAGCGTTGTCCGTAGACACCTCCAAGGTCATGTGGCCGGCATGACTGCATGGAGCGCCATTACCTTCCTGCCGGAGCGGTACCTATTGATCTACTCACATTTGCATGTTTTTGAACTGCTAGGTTGGCATTTATATAGGGTTCACTATTAGTCCTTTCTGACTGAGAGTATATCTTTACAAGATAAAGAAGAATGCTGATAATAAATGGGGTTACCCACCTCTCCGCAAGGCGGGGTACAGTACAGTTAAAATATATAGATTGAAAACAGGACCATTCAAGCATATATATGTGTGTCTGTGTGTGTATGGCTGAAACCATATTGATAAAGCGTAAGTTTAAATTCAAAAGGTTCAGATTATGCCATATTAATTGTCAAAGCTCCATACTGTGGAATCCCAAGAGTGGAAGTTATATAAGGTACCTTTCGACCCCCTTATCTGCTCCAGAGTCCAGATGTTTCCACACGTTTCACGGATATGTGAAACACGAGAAGGTGTTTCCAATCTTTCGTGTTCACAAGAAGCCTGGAAACATCTTATCCAAAAGATGAGGACTTTTTGAAAACTGATATATTTCATTATCATGTGAATTGTGCTAATTGGAGTGTGTCTGGGTGTCTTCTAGTCATGCTAAAACAGGCATGGGCAAACTTTGGCCCTCCAGGTGTTTTGGACTTCAACTCCCAGAAATCCCAGCCAGGTTAGGAATTGTGGGAGTTGAAGTCCAAAACACATGGAGGGCCGAAGTTCACCCATGCCTGCTCTGAAATATAGCTTATAGCTCAGGAATTACTTGGAGGTCCAACCAAGTACTAGCCAGCTCTGACCTTGGTTAGCTTTCAAGATGAAATGGGATCAGGTGCCTTCTGGGTATTTTGGACTCACTGAAAAAGGTGTTTCCAATCTCTCTCTGTTTTTGGGATATTTTTCTGCACTCACCTCATGTGTCTCCTTTCAGTGTTTGTAATATATATATAAATTTCTGAGGCTTTATTGATAAAACAGTACAAGCTGCTCAGAAAAATCAGCCCCGTTAGTGAATTTCACCTTTGGTATGAAGCTACAAGAATAAGAAAAAGAGTATCATTTGAAAACTTTATTGCAAATGGTATCAGCCAGGTTGAGTAGTGTTTATATGGTGGATGATCTTTTTGAACCTATTGCTTCCCCCCCCCCGCCCCCCCCCCCGGCTTTTCCTAATGTGGAGTAAGAAAGGTTAACTGATTTTACCCCATTTTGGGGGGCAGAAGTCCCTTTATGTTGTCTGGATGCCTAGGAACCCACTCGTATGTCACCATGTAGACAGGCCCTTTGGGATTTGCAACAAGCTAAAAACACCTGGGGGGGGGGGATTGAGGCCATGACTCTCCCACACCTAATGTATCCACATCACAAGGAAGATAACTTTCTTTTGAAGATTTAGTAATATACAGAGAGTATTGGATGAGGAAGCAGTGAAAAGCATCAAGAAGCAACATTAAATGGTGCAATATAAATTGACAACAATCAGCATTTATTCTAGGGTTTGCAAAATGTTGCCCTTCAGATGTTGCTGGATTGAAGCTTTCATCCATCAGCCAGTGTATCCATTAGTGAGGGATGATAGGAATTGTAATCGAGAGCACCATCCTTCCACTATTACCGCTTTACAAGACTGGAGGCTCTGTACTTTACATTAAAGCTGCAGATTTCAAGGGCTGCTAATACCAGGGATCATTTCAAAATACATCATTTAGATATTCTCCCAAATAGGTTTTTAAGCTTGCTTTCCTATGGCGTTTTTCCAAACACAGGCACAGACATAATAAAGAATACAAAAATAATTAAATGCACAGCAGTGTTGTGAATGCAGCTCTCTTTGTATATCAGAGGGGGGGAAAGCTCCATGCTGATGGTATTCAAGAGGGACTGATTATAGCCAAAAGTCTAAAAATCTATAAAACTAAATAATATTATCTTCTATAAAGATTTTGATTACAGTCAATATTCTGAGTAGGGGGTAGTATGCAATTTGAAACACACACACACATACACACACCTATTTAGATAAAAAAGCTATTCTATGGAAGCATCTTGCATTGATTGTGAAGTGGAAAAGGAAGCAAATCTGAAATAAAGGAAACACTTGATGTCCTTGAATATGAAACAAGGAAGGTTAATGTCCAAAGAAATTTATCCAAGATGATTGATGTGGTTTTTGATAGGGGGCATGTGCTGGTACAGCTGCACCAGGAGCTCCTATTTTGTTTGCTTTTGCATTTAATGTTTATTGCAGTCCTAAGTTTCAGGGACCCTGCAGATAGGTGGCTTCTTTTGGCTGCAATCATAGGGCAAGCCACCTGTCAATAATAGTTAGGTTCCCTGGTCCCACCCCTTTTTGAGTTTTGGAGGGAACAGGAGCCATTTTGAGTTAGTCCACACAGAGAAGTCTTTGTTACAGGACTTAAACCAGGACCTCCTGTAAAAGGCTTCATCATTTACAGCTTGGCCGGGGAGAAATAGCCCCATAGCTTGGCCAGGGATATACAGTCTCAGCACAGCCTTTGCTGAGGACTTTGAGGACAGTTTGTTGAGGAACTTGCAGCCTCACAGCTCTTGCTAGGGATCCAGTCCCACAGCGCTTCAGCCAGCCATCACTGGGAAGTGAACATCTTCCTCCTCCTGGAAGTTCTGCAAAGGACTCTGTTTTGGTAAGGGCCCTTCGCGGCAATCATAAAGCATTTTGGACCGGGTGTAGGGGCCCCACGCCAACAGAAGAGAAGACAGATTGCCCAGGGAGAGGTCGGGGATTTTCCCATCAGTGAAGGAACAGTTGCTTGCCCTTGGGGGCAAGATCGAGAAAGCTAATAGTTTGTTAAGAAAACCTTGAAGTCAATAGTTGAAGCCTTGTTATTTGTTCAGTAATAAAGATTTTGTTGCGTCTTTAAAGACTTTGAAGCCCATCTTTTCTGGAAAATCCCAAAAAACCTCTCTCTGAGACAACCCCGGCGTCCTGTTGGGCTCACAGAAATTAAGTCCTGTTTATAGTTTTTTATAGGAGCCCAGCACGCGACAGCACAGGGCATGTTGCTAAAACTTTAATATATCTCAATTCCTGAGCTGAACAGTATAACAAAATACTAGTGAGAGTCAGTTATTAATATTAAGCCTGTTTATGAGTGTAAAATGAGCACATTGCAAGTACAGTTTATTGCCTACTCTGGACAGTTACAGAATAAGATTCATAAGGTGTATTAAGGTAGTCTTTATATAGAACAGTTCTTCATAATTGGAGCAAGGAAGCTTTTCTAGACCAGATAGAGGCTCCACCTACACTGAGTATTTAATACAGTTTAAGCTAGCTTCAAACTGACAGCTAGACAATAAACTCCCACAAAAACTGAAGAAAGAAAGCTCTTAATGCATGAGTGCTCTGTGGTTTATGGAATCACCACCTGGGCTGCAACATGGTTCCAGGATATCCTGTATAATCATCTGCACAATGAAACCAACTTTCTTCAGTGCCAGTTTGAAACTGACTTAAGTGGCCAGTGTAGATGTGTCCTGTTAAAGAGAGGATTGGGTTTTTACTTTGGCAAATAGTCCAGAAGGTTGGTGCTGATCATTGTAAATAAGAATATATTTAGAATACGTTACACTACTAAATTATAATAGTGTGACTCCCAGTAAAAAATTGCTAAGATTCTCTTATCTAAGGTAGTCAACCAACCTTGCTCCTCCTTTTACCCAACTTTGGGAGAAGGAGTTGACCGGGATAGTATATGTCTATCATGGCTTTGTTGGGCCTTGCGGGGCCTGAGCATTTGTTATCCAGCTTTGCTGTCTTGCTCAGCCCTGGGCTTACTCATGAGGATACCTGCAACCACACCCTCATTCCACCTTAGCACTCCTGCACTTTAAGATATGTGTTTTAAAATTGTGGCACCTGTACCCTAATCCTGTAGCCTTCTACATTTACCCCATGGTAATAATGCATAATACCACTTTTATTAGCAGGCTTATGTTTGGCCTGTGAGGGGAGGGTGATTGGGAAACTATGCTTTAATCTGTTTTATTGCATTTATATGTTTTAATTGTTAAATTTATATGTTTTAATTGTTAAATTTGAAATGTCATATTTATTATTTGTGTGTATAATGCGGCATTGAATTTTGCCATAATCTGTAAGCTGCTCTGCGTGCCTTTCGGAGTGAGGAGACCGGGGCGTAAAAATAAATAAATAAATAAATAAATGGCCTCCCTGCCCTTCATCCAGGTATCCTCCTACTCTCCACTACCTGGTGTCTCCACATGTGCCCCAGTCGTGAGAGAGAGATAGGGAGATGGGCAGGCAGAGCAAGAGGCCAGGAAGTCAAAGTAGTCTTCCTGGTGATAGGCAGATAAAGGAGAGAGGAGGCTCTGCTATACATGTGCCCATAGTGGCATCCCTGCTCATCAATCTAGCCAAGTCATTCCCAAAACCCACACAGCAGTAGGCTTTGGAGGAAGTTGACAGCAGCCACTGTAATCACTGGTGCTTCTCCCTCCAGAAACCTGAGGCTTTTTTGTGAATGCGCACATGGTGGCCTCAGGCTTCAGGGAGGAAGGCATAATCTTCAAAGTGGTGGTAGCAAATCCGGAAATAATCAAATTTCTGGATGCTGAATCTGAAAATGTGAGAGGCTAATAGTATAGTATTTTTGTACCGGTATATTACATCCCCCAACACTGAAACAAACGGTTAGCGGGTGTTTAGTCTTGAAGGCTTGTGGTTAATGCCCCATTATAAAAACATGGACTTTTTTTTAGCCTGGATAAAAATAAATCTGCTTCTGGGTTTATTTTGTACATTTGAAAAAGTAAAACAGAATTCATGTCTCTATGGGGTTGTTTCTACTGGAATTATTTTAAAGTAGTCCCTTTTAATTTTTATTTTAATGCAGGATATTGGCTTTCCAAAGGGAAATACATGAGAAATATTTTTGAAAATGCTGACAAGAGAGAGGTGTCTTAATATATGTAAAACCTTACACATTGTTTTGTTTTTGATAGTATGTTTGAGTAGTATCAGATGAGTCTGAAACAGGTGTATTTTTTCAGACTGTTGAGGGCAGGTTGGAAGAAAAAAAATGTCTGACTATGTGTATGTTTGTAGGAATAGGGTTTACAGCCCTCTACCCCCCGGTTTTTATGTGTGGATGAAATGAAACACAAAACCTCTCAAAACATCAACTTGTGGCTCTTTTAGATGTTTTGCCTTTAGAGACTTTAAAGAATTAAGCTAGAGAGTGCATATAAGTCGATCCCTTTCAAATCATGTTTATTTGTGTCAGGGATTTATCTGAAATGTTTTTGTTTTGGTTCATTCTTTTATCTACCTATTTGTGTTTGCTGAAGTGCAGAAATTTTTAAAAATGGATTATTATGAACTGTAGGCTGTTGTACAAAGAGATTCAAAGATGTAGCACTTGACTTTTGACATGAGAATGAATACCAGGAACACTACCTATGAGTGGTGTAATTGAAAACCATTTTAGCATATAGTAACACCACAAGAAATGTTCAGCAAATGATGTTTCATATTCTATTTTCATTTTTAGCTTTAACAAATGAAACTGCACCAGATGTTTGCAATCGGAATAGCTAGTGAAACATATATCTTTGCTCTAGCAGCTTAATGTTGGTAATACAAGAGCAAAGAAGTTAGCCTTTTCAGTATTTTTCCGAAGAAGGTAATATTGAAGGATAGATAATGGTTTCCACACACTACTTAAAGTCTGCAAATTGCAGCTTTAAATAAGACAATTCAGTCTCCTTTGGCCTTTTTTGGTTTGAAAAATAGTGCTCCTTGTAAGGCACTGGGCAGATGTGAAACACTGATATTCTTCAACATTAAATTTGTGATTTGAATCTGTAACCTTCAGGGTCAAATGATGCTCTTTTAGTTGTACTAATTAAACTCTGGTGCCACTCTGGCATTCTATATCATAGTAATTGACTATTTCCAGAGACTCAAATACTGGGGTTAAAGTACACTTAATAAAGCATTAAAAATAAAACAGTTCATGCAAATCACAACCATTACTGTCATTTTGTTTGATTTCTGTAGGTATAGCTGTGAGATGACCTGTAAAAAACGTGATGATTATTTGGAATGGCCTGAATATTTTATGGCTGTAGCTTTCCTCTCAGCTCAAAGAAGCAAGGATCCACACTCTCAGGTAAGAAGATGGCATGCATATTTTCTATTGTTGGGAAAATTTCAGAACTGGGAAAGATCTCTCCTCAATTATCACTAGCCTCAGGTGGAAGAACCCCAGGAGAATCATCTTTTCAAAAGATAATGTCTGAAATATCCATTTGATCTTTAAAGACAAATGTTAACAATTTGAATTGGTTTCAGATACATGCTAGCAGACACCAGACATCAGAAATGTTTAAATATTGCTATAATTTTGGGTGGCTTGTGAAGTGAACAGGGAAAGAACTTCTTCCCACTATATTGCTGTGAGATTCACTTGGTCTGTGGGAGGCCACTATTTGAAGTGTGTATTTAATTTCCAATCCTAGTTAATAGCATTGGTTTGAATTAACTTCACATTCCGGACAAATGTCAAAGGCAACATAGAGCACATTGCAGTAATCTAGTTGCCAAAACATAGATAACCATGGATAGACTACTTTATTTCAGAGGGATTCCAGCAGGACTCCCAACTTTAATGGGTGAAAGGCTTTCTGTGTGATTAATCCCTTGGGCTTCTAGCGACAGAGCCAGACAAGTAAATATCTTCCAGGCTATTAATCTTTTCTTTTAGGTGGAATCCAGCCCCAACCAGAATGGAAGTAGCACCACTTCCCTGTATAGCACAAATAAATGGATTACTCAATTAGTTGTTTCATAACAGTAAACAAAGTATTGGTTCTGTTTTAGGTTGGTGCTTGCATTGTGAATTCAGAAAACAAGATTGTTGGGATTGGTTACAATGGCATGCCTAACGGATGCAGCGATGACTCGCTCCCTTGGACAAGAACAGCCGAGAGTAAACTTGACACTAAATATCCCTATGGTAAAGAATACAGTCTCTTAAATTAGACTTCTTGTTTTATGCTTTTAAAAATTGTCCATTCTTGTAGAAGAGCTTGCTTAACTAGTCTTGATTACAAAATGTTTTCATTTCCCAAGTCTGGAAAATACAAACACCTTTAATTTTTATGTAAGAACTGCCATTGAGCAAGTTTGTTTTCAGACTTTACAAGAAGTATTCAGTGTTTAAATACATGTCAAGACCTGTTGCATAAATAAAAGTATGCAAAACAAAATTTGAGTAAGTATAACTATTTAAGGTTTGTTGGCATATGCAAATGGTATTTAAAAATGGAAGCTGTTTTATATGTGTTTTCTTGTCATGTATTTATTCCCAGTGCATGCTTTATAACAGTATTACTGCTGTTGTTTATTAGATAAATCATTCATAAAATCTAATACCTTGCGTGCAATATTTTAGTTCTTAAATTTTTAATTAACATATAGCCAGGTTTCAAATAACCATACAACTAGCTCTCTGCATCTAAGCACTTCAATGCCAAGCTTCCATATAGCAAACCATATTTAACATTAAACAGACTCCCAAAACTGTTACTATATAACAGTGAAATTAGCTGCTTCTCTCTCACTCTCTCTCTTGTTCTCTTTCACTTTCTCTAATTTAACACAGAAACCATTTTTGTATCTTTGGTTACTTGTGTCTTTTGCATCTTGGTCAGATGCTGGAACATACAGTCTGTTTGCCTCTGAAACATACTTGTAAAAAACAGATAAATCAGTACTAATCTGTTTAACAAAAAGCTAGCTTTTCATCCTTTTAAGCAAGACCACTCTTCTTTCACAAGATGCAAGTTTTGCTTTCCAGGACTAAATAAAACTTTTCATGTTGAAATAGTTCCGAGCTATCAAAAGTATGTCCTAATAGACTTATCAAAAGACTTTCAAACTAAGTGCTAGTATATAATGGCAGTGAAAAATGATTCTCTAAATTGAATTCTTTATTCTACTAGCTTTTCCCTCTAGCTTACTTATCAGTTCTTTTTCTTGGAAGCAAACAGGACTTGTTCTTCCTTCATAACTTCTTCCTCTCTGAAGACCACAAAGTGCACTTGCATAATCAAACACACATTCCTATTCATGCATGTAAACACATAAATGAACTCTTTTATATTGGCAATTAGATGCTCTCTGAGAGCACTGGTGCTGTGAGATATTGCCACATTTAGGGTAGCTGAAACTACTTGGCCTTGAGCCTATGGCTTTGTTTTGTACTGTAGGTGTTCACAAACGGCTTTGTTAATGTGCTTCACAATTTCATTACTCACTGCAAGCCTGGCCAGATCACTTGACCTTCATTGATCTTGGTATTCCTGGATTATTTCCCCTCCTCTAAATTTCTCTCTTGTGTGACAAATTGTGCTGGCTGTTTGCCTCTGGAAGGACACAGGCATTTGCAGCTCACCACTTTGTTAGGTTTCAGATTGATGACTCACTTTAATGAACGCACATATGAGTATTTGCTGTGTTCTTTTTATCTTTAATCAGTATGTCATGCTGAACTGAATGCCATAATGAACAAGAACTCAGCTGATGTGAAAGGCTGCAGCATGTATGTTGCCTTGTTTCCTTGTAATGAATGTGCAAAGCTCATCATCCAGGCAGGTAAGGAAATGTGCCAGCTGGAATTGTCAGTAATACTGCACTGCTTATTTGTGGGTATCTCATCACAGATGTATTTGGTTTTCAAATTGTGGCTGTTTAGATCTAAATTAATTGCACCATCAACCTTTAAGACACTCCTTGTGTTTTCTGTACTTGAGTAGTGCCAGGTTTTCCAGTACTAATTGCATTCTCTGTGATTCTTAGCTTGTTTTAATTTAAGTTTGCAACTTCTTAGACCAAGAGCTGCCAAGGAACTGTGCAAGCATTGCATATAATTACTGTCAATTTACAGTGTTCTGACACATTGTGAAGGGAATACAGGGGTGGGGTGGGGGAGAGTAAACTTTATGTGTCATAGGTTCTCTTGGGATTATATATGTAACATTTTATTATTTATATTTTATTGCATTTATCATATAAAAATTAAGACATGTAAAACATAACAATTAGAAGGCAGACATGAGAGATACCATCAACATATATAGAGCATACAGCCACAAAGTGTAAGTAACAATAGACATGACAGATGAGTTGTGCTGACACCAACATATACTGACCCCCGCAAGCCCCCCTTCCCTCCCTCCCCCCCTTCCCCCTCCCCCTCCCCTCCCTAATGTTAAAAGCGACTTCCCCTCAATTCCATTCATTGTTATATCATTTCATCATACCATAATGCTAATACATCTATATCATCCTCCAAATTTCAGGCATTGAGCATCTCTTATTGCTGTATTTCCTTTTCCATGTAAGACTTGAACAAGCTCCAGTTAGTCATCCCAGCTCCTCGACCATTATTCTGCCTTAGCCAGAACGTTAATTCATCCATTTCCTGGATATCCAGGACTTTACTCCGCCATTGATTGATGGTGGGTATCCTGTCTTGCTTCCACAAGCTAGCGAACGTCATTCTGGCTGCGGTTGCTAAAAATGTAAACAACTTTYCAAGGTTATTATCGGGAAAAACAGAGCTATCGTRTATTCCTAAYAAATACATTTCTGGGTACATTGGGTAATTTACCTTAAGAATTTTCCTACATTCATTGTGTATTGCCTTCCAGAACTCTCTTGCCTTCGGACAATTCCACCATAAGTGGTAGAAGGACCCCTCCTTAGCTTTACACTTCCAACACCTGTTGTCCGCATTCTCATACATTCTCGCTATTTTTTGAGGGGTCAAATACCAACGGTGTAGCATTTTCAACCAGTTCTCTTTTAAGTCCGAGGCATAGGTATATTTGAGTCTTTTCTTCCAGATGGTCTCCCACTCTTTTAGGTGGATGGTTCTCCCAATATTCCTTGCCCATAAGACCATTGAGTTTTTAATAATCTCTGTTTCCGTTGCCCACCCTAACAGAGTTTGGTATAGGAGCGTTATGACTTTTTTCCCTTTCTTGTGGAGTTTGTCCCATATATCTGTTTCCTCCCCGAAACCTAGCTTCCTGTCTTCCTTGTAGCTTTCCTTAATCTGGGCGTATTGTAGCCATGAAATGTTCTTAAAATTTTGAGCTATTTCTTTTTGGGTTTTGAGTTCCCAGGAGCCGTTCTTTTTACATAGGATATCTTTGTAGGAGGGCCAGGAGACCCAGCCCAGAAGTCTACGGTGTTTCGCCTCGAGGGGTGAGATCCATAAGGGAGTTTTTTGGAAGAAATATTTTTTATGTCTTTCCCAGACCTTAATCAGGGCGGATCTTACAAAGTGGTTTCCAAAGTTTCCTTCTTTCTTGGTCCCATCATACCATATATATTCATGCCAGCCCTTACGGAGGTCGAATCCTTCTATCGTTAAGATCTTAATGTTTTCTAATTTGGTCCAATTTTGGATCCATGTTAATGCACTGGCGTCGTAATATATTTGTAAATCCGGAAGGCCGAATCCTCCTTTCTGGATTGGCATAGTCATTATCCTATGATTGATCCTAGGTCTTTTATTCTTCCAGATAAACTTTGCGATCTCTTTATTCCACTCTCTAAATATCTTCCGATTTCTGATAATAGGGAGGTTTTGGAAGATATAGAGCAGTTTAGGGAGGACATTCATTTTTATGACTGCTACCCTTCCTAGCAGTGACAGATTTAGTTTTTTCCATACTTCCATCTCTTTCTTGATTTCCTTCCATTTCCCCRTGTAGTTATTTTCTAATAAGTTTAGATTTCTTCGAGTGACCCAGATACCTAGATATTTAATCTTATTTACTGTTTTAATTCCGGATATAGCTTCCAGTTTATTCTGATTTGTTTTAGAGATATTTTTGGTTAAAAGCATAGTTTTCCTTCTGTTTAGTTTGAGCCCCGCTGCCTCTCCATATTTTTCAATTTTGTCGAGCCATAGTTGTATTGTTTCCCTTGGGTTCTCTATCACGCATATGATGTCATCTGCGAACGCTCTGAGTTTTAGTTCTTGTTTGTCTATTCTTAGCCCCCTTAAAGCACCATCCTCCCTTATGTCTTTAAGTAACACTTCTAAAGCAAAGATAAATATTAGGGGGGATAGAGGGCAACCCTGCCTAGTGCCTTTTTGGATGGGGAAATCCTCTGATGCAATTCCATTTATAACTAATTTAGCTTTTTGATCTTTATAGATGGCCTCAATGGCGTTCCTAAATTGGAACCCAAAGTCCATTTCCTGGAATAACAGTTTGAAAAAGTCCCAGCGGATGTTGTCAAACGCTTTCTCGGCGTCGATGGCTAGGAATGCCATCTCTTTCTGATGGTGGGTCTCATAGTACTCAATCGTGTCGAGGATTGATCTTACATTATCTTTAATGTGTCTACTGGGCAGGAAGCCGTTTTGATCTTCCCCTATCCAATTTGCTAGGAAGGTCTTAAATCTGTTGGCCATAATGATTGCAAAGATTTTATAATCATTATTTAGCAAGGAGATGGGGCGATAGTTTGTAATGTCTTCCTTGTCTGAATCTTCTTTGTGTATTAGGGTAATTTCGGCAAATCTCCATGACTCTGGGATATCTCCTTTTTGAAGTATTTTATTCATTACCTCCTTGAGGGTGATTATTATTTCCTCCTCGAGCGTCTTATAAAAGCCCGCGGAGAAACCGTCGGGGCCAGGGGCTTTGTTATTCCGAAGGCCTCTAATCGCGGTCTTAATTTCTTCTGTCGATATGTCTTGGTTTAATTCCCCTCTTTGTTCATCTGATATTTTTGCTAGCTTTTGTTTACTCAAGTATTCTACTATCTTTTCCACGTTTATTTCTTCCTGATTATATAGTTCCCGGAAGTAATTTTGAAATTCTTTTACTATTTCATCATCTTTTGTTAATATTCTGTCTCCCACTTTTATTCTGGTTATTCGTTGTAATTGGGTTTTTTTCCTTATTTTCCAAGCCAGAGCTCTTCCTATTTTATTAGCATTTTCGAATTCTCTCTGACGAATGAATTTTATTTGGTTTGCCATTTTCTCTAATTCGATTCTGTGCTTTTCTTTTTTTAATATATCTAATTTTTCGTTCAATCCTGGTTTTCCTGGGTTCTCTTTCAGTTCTTTTTCTGTCGTCTCTATCTTTTTTTCCAAAAGTACCTTTTTATTGTTTTTAAGTCTGTTTCTAATTGAGGCATGTTGGATTAAGTGTCCCCTTAATACTGCCTTGTAAGCGTCCCAAACAGTTTGGATCTTAGTTTCTTCCTTGGTATTTAATTTAAAATAGTCCTGAGTTTTCTCTTTATATTTCTTTATGTCCTCTTCTGTTTTGAGTAAATTCTCGTCTAATCTCCATTTCCTTCTTCCCTGCGTGCGATTAATTGTCATAATAATTGGGTTATGGTCAGAATATTCCCTCGGTAATATTTTGATTTCTGTTACTTTTGATGTGATCGTTTTTGACGTCCAGACCATGTCGATTCTGGTCCAGACACGATGTCTATTAGAATAGTGTGTAAAGTCTTTTACTCCTATATTATGGGCTCTCCAAGTATCTTCTAAATCATATTCTTCCAGACAACTCCGGAGATTTAATGGTAAGATATTGGATTTTACCACACTTTTCCTTTGCGGAGTTTTGGTTCTGTCCAATTTTGGATTCATGATTCCGTTGAAGTCCCCTACTATAACCAAATGTGTGTAATTTTCTGCCAGTATTTTTTCCCTCAAAACCTTTACAAATTTTCCTTTGGGACCATTGGGGGCATATACATTGCATATAAGGATATTCTCCGTTCCAACCACTATTCTGACCGCTAAGATTCTGCCCTCCATATCCTTAAAAATGAGGTTCGATGGTATGCTCTCATCTATATACAGGGCTACCCCTCTTTTTTTTTCCGGGGCTGAGGAATGATACATTTTGCCTAATTTTTTATGAACTAGATGTGCCGAATGTCGTTGGGATATATGGGTTTCCTGCAGAGCAATTATATTATATTTGCCTCGTTTTAGGTGATTAAATATCATACTCCTTTTACTGGGAGAGTTTAACCCATTTACATTGTTTGAGTAGAATTTTACCTGCTGAGTGATGTCGCCCATTTTACTCCTTTGCTTCATCATCGTCCATTTCGTCAAGTTCCTCTTCATTGTCCTGTTCCTCGTCGTTTAATCTTGGGTCTGGAGTCATTTTGCCAGCATCAGGGGATTTGCTTCTTTTCCTTTTTGGTTTCTTCCTTTTTTCCTCTGGTCTTTGTGGGGATCTGATTTTAAATTCTTTCTCTAATCTCTTATAAAAGTCTTTTGCTTTATCTTCCGAGGTAAGCCAGAATCTCTCCCCTTTATATGTTGTCATAAGTCCCTCCTGTTTTTCCCAACGAAATCTGATGTTAAGTCTTTTAAGCTCGTCTGTTAAGAAAAAATATTTCTTCCTTTTACTTAGGGTGTCTGGCGGGAATTCTTTTAATATTAGGACTTTAGTTTCCTTGTAATAAATTGGTTTTAGGCGGCTTACTCGCAGCACATCATCTCTGGTTTTTTTCCTTACGAATATGTAACATTTTAATTTGAACATCAGACATAGCAGGCACTTGAAGATTTTATCTCTTTTGTCATCAATGTC